AGAGAGAGGGAAAATATGCTTGCAGTACAGTACATTCAAGGAAAATCGTAACAACAAATATAAAAAGCTTGTGCCAACAACAAGTCAGCGCCAGTATTTTACTGTAAACGTCGGGTAACTATTTATAATTTTTTATGTTTTAAACTGAAAAACGATTAAATTACAGATTTTTACTGATCTGTTTAGCTATTTTGAAGTGAACATTCTAATAAATTATGATTTCAACTGTTAAAAGTTTGCAAACAAATTTTTAATTAGTTATTTTTTATTCTAATAAACAATTTCATCTTTTTATAATCGCTGAATTATTAAAATTAAAAATTAAACACTATTACATAAAAGTAGTTTATCCTGTTATTAATCCACAACTGTAAAATTATATGGCTTCAGAACGGTGAAAAAAGCCATTTCAAAATGGATTCTGGTGTAATTTCTTATTAAAGATTGCAGCATTACTTCTTGCCGTCTGCAGATGGCTATAATTGGTCATCCATATTCAGCAAACGAGATCAACAATGCAATTAAGGAGACACATTCCCTGACTTTCCCTAACTTTCCAGGTGCGTAGGAACCTTGTATACGTATACAGAATTCCTACTCAAATTTTTGTTTTAATTTCCATGAATTTCCCTGACCCTCACATCCCTTACATTATGACGTATTGGCAAAACAAAACACCATAAACTTCTATGCATACTTTTTTCCCGCGAGTTTTAATAGAATTTGTTGCCAATAAACATCCAAGAACAGCCAGTATGTCGTCATCAGATGCCATGGCCGACTGACTGACTGAGAGACAATGGTGTAGAGAACATAACTGGCGCCGGGGGAACGACACTATATTGGCGCCCCCTTCTCCTCCAGAAACAAATCTCGTTTGTCTTGGAGACCATTTGGCGCCCCTCTGCGAGTGGCGCCCGGGGCACGTGTCCTACTTGCCCCACCCTAGCTACACCTCTGCTGAGAGATTTTCTTCTTCGTGTGTGGGCGATAGGAAATTCTGAAGTTCCTCAAGGTCAGGTAGCCTCAAAGGATTAACTTAACGTGTATGGCCGCCTTAATTACTCTCCTCGACCCAGCGGAAACCTCTCCACTCGTTCGTCAAGACGATCCACGACATCCCGACATCAATCAAGGTTCTACCCAAGAAGATAATAGAGAGGTTGCGGCCGACGTTTTCATTGCGAAAACGTGTACGTCGGACGTTCAGCGCCGCCTTCCTATAAGCCTAGAAGTTTGACAATGGTGTTTAAAATGTCGAGCATGAATCCACTGACTATCCAAGCACCATTGTCAAACTTCTAGGCGTACAGGAAAGCGGCGCTGAACGTCCGACGTACCCCGTGAAGGCCGACGTTTTCACGACGAAAACGTCAGCCGCAACCTCTCTATTTACAAACACGGTCCGACCATGTAAACTCTCTTTCGCGATCTCACATAGACTCCCATTTATGTTCCACGCTTGTAGAAAAACCATTTCGTTTAATAAATTGTTGTTAATTTTGTTAAAAGGCGTAGTGGCGTATATTATTTCCGGCGCACTGTCTCTCGAATTCCTCCTCCATCCCGAATCCGACCGTCTATATATGCGACCGCACGCATGAGATTAAATGTACATAATTAACAGACAACTGGCATCTTGAAACTACCAACAATATGCATGAAGAACAATATATCAATAGGTTCCGGAAAGGCAAATTATATAATTATTAACGATAATGACCATACAGAAAGTCTATTACTGTTGGGATTTACTATACGAATTTTTTAATTTACAAGCAAAAATATTTTAATCGTATTCACTATTACTAACAAAATAAATTCTTTTTTATTTACCAAATATTTTTCGTGTAAGGAATTGAAATTCCTAATTGGCTGTAAGCAATTTCTATATTTTACATATTTAGTCCAGAATGAGAAATACTTCGAAAACATTTAAAAATATGTCTTATTATGTTTCTCCGCGTTATTTTCTTTCTTCGTGACACATAACTGACAGATCAAAAAAAACCAACGATGAATTAAAGACTAGAGAAAAGCGGCATGTGTGTCACGTGATGTAAACTCAACTAATATCGAGTAAGTGTTGCCAGACAGTTTAATATAATTTTTTAGTTTTTTCAAGCGTTTCAGCAACTTCCGTTTCCACCATATTGACAACCTATCGAAAAATGTTTTTTTTTTTATGTTTTCCGTCATTGATTTAGAGCACCAGCTAATTATTCATTTTATTATTTTTTCTTCATCTACTATGTACACGCTTATTTTATTTTATTATTCTCTTGGAAGAACATTTCTCTTCTGATTTATGTTACATTGTTTTCATATATTTTATTTTGTATTCCATTCACTCTTGTGTCTCCCTTAAATTAATCCATGCGAGTAGTGATTACCAGAGCCCCTTCGTCCGCCAATTTAAAGTCTTTTAATCTTTAAAATTGGCGTTTCCACTTCCCGGGACGAGGACCAGGGGTTGGATTTGTGGGAAGCGAGTGTTCGGGTTGTTTCATTGTGTCGAATTACACAGAACGAGGCGCTTGAAGTGTAATTGCGAGAATTCGAGTAAAGGTTAAACGGTGTATATCTTCGTGTACAGTGATGTTATGTTTGTGCGTGTGTGTGTATGTGTGTGATCGAAGAACATCTTCGGCATGTCTATAAACAGAAAAACAGTCAATTATGATACGAGGATAAGACATGTTAAAAAATGAAACGAAAGAGTTCTTACCATCGGAGATTTCGGAAAATATTCACTTACATGATAAATGGCCACTTCGTCCTCTTCGCGGTAAAGTTCTTCTCCCTCCCAAATGTTCCTACAGAACACAAAGACAGTGAGAAAACGAGAAGTTCATTTATTGCTTAAGGTCAACATTATTACCTTTATCAGACAGTCTTCCCGAACAGTGTTACGAGAAGAGCGAAGGACCTGGCCTAGCCTAGCCTACCGTAACCGGAAGATCAATCCTCATAACAGCTGTTTGGGAAGAAAGGTAGGCTGAATGTCGCGCCCGGATGGTCACAATCGGAAGTCAAATCCATCCGGGAGAACCGTGAAAACATCCGGGTAAGAGAAGACCAAGTCCGAGTAAAGAGGTCATGTTCGAGTGAAAAGTATCGAATCCGGTCAGAATGTCGCATCCGGGTGCAAAGGACTAATCGGGGGAAATCGAAGAGGATCACCGCCTAGGCCAAGGGAACCGCAGCCTCCCACAGCAACAAAACCGCGGTTCCTCGACTTCGGCGGCGCTCTCCTCCGAATCTTCTTCGTTCCGACTTCCGAAAGACGATGGCGACGTGGTCGCGAGCGCGGACCGAGAGGCAGACCTCGCGAAAATAGACAACTCCAAGAGGACTCGTCACTCCCTATGCCTTCCTTAACAAGGCCATAGGCCGGCTGATCCCTGACGACCTTGGCCAAGTGGAATGGACTCAGAACTCTCTCGCCACACGCACTGGGGGAAGGTCATCACCACCCGCTGCCTCTCGCTCGACGGCCTCAAACGACACCGAACTAATCGATTCGACAGAGACCCAGTCGAGTTCACGGTCCTCGAAAGTCTCATCAGAGCAGTCCGAGGAACCACCTTCCTCCGGCGCTACCGCATTTTTCCGTCGGAACCTCCGGCGAAACCACGCAAACATCTTCATTCTGAAAAAAAAAAAATTGCAATTAGTCGATTAAAACAAAAGCTTAAATTAATGTCTAAATTCTTTCGAGAAAAGCAAAATGCTGCCTTTTTAAATCTAAAAGATTCGAATCCGAAGCGCAAACGGTCGACCATCGAACGATGTGCCGAGATGTCTTCTGGGACCGATTCTCTAAATAATATTAAATAAATTCTTACATCTAAGGTCAATATGGACTAAGACTTACCTGAAAAATCTTGAATCTTCTTCCGAAAAGTCCGCAAACAGCGAAAAACAGCACACAAATCACGAGCGCAAGAAAAGCACGGTCCGACCAGAACCGGAAACGCAATCGAACTGTGAATCGTCATGTGTGACGTATTTCGAACAAACGCATCGTTAAAAGACGCATCAACAATTTTTTTAATTCAAATTTTTACAATCAATCTTATTTTTTTAATTATTTTTTTTCTTTTTTAAATTTTGCTTCAATCATTTTCTTGTGTTCGCAATTCGATAAATTATCTTTTGCATTTACATGGTGCAGAATGTCCACCGTGGACAGGTAAAAGACGATCTTTTTAAATTCTGTCTCGAGGTTTCGAAAATTGCCTGAAATTTGTTTGAATAAATATTTTTTTCGGCGATCGCACGAATAAATCAAATTCTTAGGATTTCGAAATTATTTCGCTTTTCGGAAATATTCCTCGGTCGCCGTCGGGGTTGCGGGTTTCGCGTATTGATGCAACATCAAACTGGATAAAGTTAATATTAAAAATACCGAAAAACCTTTATAATACGGCCGAACAAAAATTAAGTCCGAGACAACGGGGAAATCGACGCAGAGGATAAACAGACTGAGCTAGGGAGAAATGATCATTCTTTCTCCTTGAGTTTCTGACTTTCTAAAGGATCTCTCCCCTAAATTTTTAATTTGATGGGTTAATCAATTTGACACTTCCGTTCGATTTCGTCCAACTTTGAAACTTTCGCTTGTATCTCACGCCATGATATTTTCTTTTTTGACACGGCTAAGAACTTTTCTTTATGTCTTCATTACTTACAACGCGACAATTTTGCTTTCGGAGGAATGCTACATTTATTTTTAAATTTTCTCATGTCAGAGTCAGAGCTGGATTTTTCCGATTGACATTCTGAACTTTCCTATCCGTGATAATTTGAAAAAATTTTAGACCTATTAATTCGCATTGTCTTAATCTCGAGAACGGAGTTAGATGAAATGCGAGACCATATATGGAAACTTTAGGGACAGGAGCCCCAATTAATTATATATGAAATTTCGATGCAAAGAGGAAATCAAGTTATTTCAATACAAATCCCCCCTGCTCAAAAGCAGTTAATAGATGCTAACGGAAAAGTATGATGTACAGGGTCAAGACACTACTAATTTCAAGTGATTTTAAATTATTTTATTAAATTATTTATTTAAAAATATTTTAAATTAAATGATATAAAAATACGATTACAAATTGCAGCCCGGCATTGTGACCATGTCACTATAAATAATTGCTCGTAGTTATACAGTAGTTTGTTTGTGAAAATATTTGCGATGCAAAACCACATTTTGACCTTTGTCACGTTACCAACCGTCATATTGAAGTTAAAATCCTTCTAAGAGGTAATAAGGAGTTAATAATTGTGCGAAATGGAAGAAGCGTTGCATTTACCCATGAAAAATAGACAAAGAAAACATGCCAATAAGTGCAAGAGACTGATACAGCATTAGGATGTGCAGGAACTGTGCACTATATCCATCATTGTGGATAACACAAGTATATTAAGACGAACTAACCTTTTGTTCTTTATGTTATAGACAAAGCCGTAACTAGGCAGGTGCACTCGCACAGGGCCACTTGGAAGGGTGGCCCAAACTGCTGTTCACAAGAAATTATTAAATTAAAAATTTTTCCACCTTTCTACAGCACGGTTTGGCGATTACATTTCGTCTTACTTAGACCCTAGATGTCTGCTCACCAGTGTTCCCAACTGTGGCGACTTTTAGAGGGACGTAGTAAAGTAGCGGAGACCTCAGACAAATCAGCCAAAAGTAGCGACTTTTGAGATTTTTTAATTTATTTTTTGACAAGTTTAAATTTATGTTTATAGTTTTCAAATTTACAGATTTTTCTCTACTTTATAGAGCTCTCTGGCAACTACTACTATTATTACGATATACAAAACTATTTCTAGATTTTTCTACAGTGTGCAGAGCTAGAAATAACAGTAAAGGTAACATTTTGTAACAAAAATTTTAAAAATTCGGGGGATTGTAGAGGATAAAATTTTGAATGTTTTGATATAAGGAACCTATAGCTGGAAATTTGAACTAATGTCTACAGCGGTAGGAAGTGTTTGACCGCCCTTCACTTTGGTAGCTACCCTTCCGTCCATTGAAGTCATGTTATTGCTGCGGATGGAAGACTGTAAACACACAACTACAGTGATCTAACTGAGCCTGTGTACGTTGTGTACTTAGTGCTTGTCGTTCTTCAGGTCACCCCTTGCATCCACTGTCGCTGTGCTGTAAACACACAACTAGTCAACGTGAGTCAGTGTACAGTTATCTGCTTATCGTGCTTTACGTACTGTGCCTACGTTCTGGCTTCTTGGAGGGTAATTTGGAGAACTTGCTAATATGCATTTATGTTATGGTGAAGCTCGAGGGAATGCCAGTGCAACATACCGACCACATAGAACGTGCAAAGTGCTGTAGAAACGTTATATCACTTTTCCGGCTATAGGTTTCTCATATCAAAACGTTCAAAATTTCATCCTCTACAATCCCTCAAATTTTTAAAACGTCGTTCTGATACACCCTGTATAGTATTTAAACGTCACTAGAAAATTTTTTTACAATAGCATTTTTTAAAACATTGTTCGTGTGACAGATGAAGTTGTTGACTATCGTCAGATGTGCATATTGGAATCCCAAGACATAATGTCAGTATACTCTTCAATTATCCAGTCTGAAAAAATAATTTATATTTTGTGTATTTACAAATTATAAGTGAAAAGTTAAAATATAACTTAAAATCTAATTTTATTTTTAGATCTATATCAAATGATAGAGCTACAACTAAAGATAATGATTNCAAAACCAAATAAATTAAGTGGCCTAAATGCAAATTCTTGCACAGGGCACAGGAATGGCTGGTTATAAACAATAACTTTAGATCTGAAACTGTCAGCCGGAAAAGGGATTAGAAAATTACCAATCCGAAAATCATTTTTAAATAGGCGAAATAAAGAGAACTGTTTTAATCTCGGTCTTTGCTAGTTGTAAATAATTAAGAAAGATGTGATAAATATTACTAGTCTCACAACTGGAAGAAGAAATCTTCACTTTTTATAACGCTCTCCAGCCTGATGAAATAGTATGTCTCCTTGAAGTTAATAAGAATTCGACGATTGTAAATGTAATACAAAAAACTTTAATTCACAATATAAAACCATTTTTATATTTTTATAAAGCATTGCTAATTATCAAGAATGACACATGATTCAGTTCCACCTGATTGTTTTGATCTATTTGATTTACTCTGGCCGATGAAAGATATATCATCTGTGAAAAATATTTGTATGTATAATATATATTAAACATTCAGATTAAAGTGATAATTTTAATACATTCGAATGTATTAAAATTAGTTGTACATGTTATCGAAATAACATGTACAACTAATCGGATAATTATTTTAAATGTCAGACGAACAGCCGGATTTATTTAACGGGCTATTTTAAGGCTAAGTAATGAGTTTAAATTCTAAATATAATACAATAAAAACTCAATTTACAAATATTTTCATTTTATTTTTTATTTTTGATAATTAATTAGCCTTAAATACTCAAAGGAATTCGTCTGTCGTTTGATATTTATTCTAGTTTTAAATGAGCCCGTTAGCAATGTGGAAGCGTGACACAGTTCTATCAAGAATTCGAATTAACAGGCATTCGTTTTTAATGATTTTTATAAATCCGCCCTATGGGCACTAAGAGGACCTTTTTTTAGCATTCCCATCTTGGGTTTAGCCAGGCACACATTGGGTGATGAGAGATTGGCCCCATATTCGGATATACCATCCCCGTAAAATTCTGGGGTTTCACCTGACAGGATTCTCCAGAATCTCGGATCCCCAGAACGGGAGGCTGTCACTTTATCTTGTCCATCCGGCTGCTGTTCGTTTTTAATGTCAATCTGTAGATAGGGAATAAAAAGTTGACAATAAATGTCTTTAATAAGCAAAAGAAACGGCAACATTGATATAAAAACGGCCGCAAATTTTCTTTAAAATTAGTTTCCTCAAACATGACGACGCTTCAGACACTCTTCTAGTGTCGTCAATCTGACCTCAAATGAATATTTTATGAAATAGTCTGTTGCAATATGAATGGTAAAAATTCAATATAAAGGAAATTTTATCAGAATATTTTGAACTTACAAAATTTCTTGTACTGCTATTTAAGAAATTTAAAAAAAAACGCTCTTATTATTTGAGTTCCAGCTGTCTACAGAATATTCTTTTTAATGAAATTCTAAACTAATAAAAATTTTAGTTAACTTGTTTAATTTTTAAAATTTTTATATTCTTTTAGTATTTGTTAAGGGGTAGTCTAATATTCTGGGGAACCCGGAATCGAATACGGACAGATTGAAAATTCCAGGAATATTTCGGGGGGTGGTCAGTCTGAATATGACGGGTCCATCCCTCACTACCGGCCACCCTATAGTGGGCCTCGCAGAATCCATAATTGGCTAAAAAAGAATTTCTCTGTGAACAGGGTAGAGAGTTATATATATATACAGAGGATTTATTGAAGATAAAATATATGCCAGGGTGGGCAACCCTTAGCATGCGGGCCAAACGTGGCATGCCAACGACTTTTTTGCGGCAAAGAATTTATCGGGTTTCAAAAGTGTGTGTGTGTGTGTATGTGAATTTTTGATGATTTGAAAATATTCTCTCAATACTTAGACACCAAATAATATGATTATCCTATGAATTTCAGTTTCTACATGAAAAAATTTTGAATTAGGTTTACGATTTTGGCACACACACCTAAGAAAAGCTGCCCAACCCCCTGGTATTTGCCAAAATTGAAATTAGTCTTTGTAATTATTAATATTTCTATTTTTAATATTTATAATAGTTAAAGAATTTATTTTTACGTTTACGTTTGTTATTATTATTATTGTTATTATGTTTGTTTATATTTTCATAATCTTCACAATTATATTTTTACACAACTAGATTTTTAAAAATTTTGTATTTTTCACGGGATAGTTTTTTCTTAGTCTCTAGTTTTTGGAATATTATTTGAATGTAATAAATACTATTTTTCTTATGGAAAGATCTGGTCAGATTAGGATGATCCATTAATGTATACGCAGGACTTATTAATGAAAAAGTTTTCGGCTTTATACAATTTATATTATTACTCTGAATTTTATGCATTAGAGAAGAATCTAATCATTGAAAATGGCAGCATTGCTAAAAAATTATGACAAAAATTGCTCATGAAAAATTAAAAATGACAGATAATGATATTATCCTAATATTTCATATTGGCAAGAGAATTTATTGCTAAACAAACCGATCGATATAATTGAAATTTAAAAAATTTTAACAATTACTTTTCAATCAAATAAATCTCGATAAATGCACTTACCATGGCCCGACATGATAGCAGGTAAATATCTTCCATTGCAACATGGTAGATCTTTTTCGATTTCTTCGGAGCATATTTTTACACTCGATCTCTGTAAAAAAATTTAGAAAATAGACACAACGTATTGATTTTATTTCTAGTTATTGTTTCGAAATGCCAATTAAGATATAATTCTTACACTATCGTCGTTTCCTCCTAATACTATTAATTCGGGAATAACGAAATTAAATTCTGTGTTATGAGAATTGCTCGATGCAAGAATTGATGTTACAATTACATTATTGTTGATATATGGCGATTGGTTTACGTGTTTTTCTTCGTTTTCTTTCATTTCTTTATTGAAGAATAATTTTATTCTATTAACCAATAATTCAATCTTCCTAGAGAAAAAATTTCGAATTATTACAATACAGGAATTATTGCCAGTATGAAAAGAGTTATTTAACAAAATATCTTCCTCTATTAAATCCATAATAAGTCCGTTATATTATTATTATTATTTTATAACAAAAGTTTATTTGTTTGTTGTCGTAACAAAAGTTATTATTTAAGAAATAAGTACAGTAAAACTTCATGGGGCTACAATTACTGGCCACGTAAGTGAGTTGTATCTTAAGTGGAATTATTAAAAATTTGACATACAGAATGTAATTAGAGTGCCGACTGAATCCTGCTAAAAGTTTAATACAAATTATAAAAGTAAACAAATAATAATAATAAATTCACATAATGCTATACATCCTTTGCAATTTACAGTTATTCACTCTTTCATACAGGGTAACATATTAACACTGGATAATAGAGAATTGAAATACAAGGTACAGTACGTGTACAATGAATGCAAGCTGTTTGCAGTAGAGTTCATTTAAGTACTGTACAGTACAGTACTAAATGGAATAGTTTAATATTCATGAGGAAATTAATGTTTTCGAAACGATAGTAATAGTTTTATTTAAATATTTTAACAGAAAAATTTAGAAAACAATTCATTAAACGGAAGTCACTAAACACGCGGAAGTGTCCAAGTGTCGAAAATGTTAATAATTAAATCTGCTTTTACTTCATGCCTATTGATAGTTTTCGTCGTTACATGTTACGAATGAAGTAGACGGATCATCGCTGATTTGCATAGTTATGTCTTTTACAAAATACAATTCGATTTTGTATGAAAGTATCGAACAAATATATAATTATATTTATCTTCAAAATTTAGTAATTTGTTCAGTGTAAATTAAGATTTATTTTATTGAACGTCATCTATCGGAGAGATCTAAACAAACTATTCCGAAATTATAGCAACAAAGAGCTTTGAGCAAGCAATGCATTGAGTTTAGGAACGCGTTTTATGGTTTTCCTATTCTGCTGGCCATGTAGATCAGGCCAACAGAAGAGAACAGTGCCACTTTAGGAAAACTATCGTGGCTACTTAAGCGAAGGTGAGATGGCTACTAATGCATTTGATTTCTATTAAAAAGTATGCAGTTTTATATGGGAATTTTAGAGGTGACCAATAAGCAAGGTGGTCAGAAAATAAGGTTACAGTATATTATTTTTTGTAAATTGAATAATGCAAATTCCATATCTTGTATTTTGTCACCATTTATATCTATTTTGTTATAATTTTATTGTACGTTATTTAAAGCAAATGGCATACTTTAATGTTTCGTAATCTAATAAAATAATGCTATTACATTAAGTCAATTTTTTAAACTCTTGTCGCTCTATCAATACTAAGAGGGCGTCTTTTTCAATAAGCCCATTATAGGTTTGGCCACGTCCACAATGGGGTGGCCGAATGATAAGGTATCCTAGTTCCAGTATTCTTATGCCACAACTTCGAAAAGTTTCCTTTATTTAAAGTTTACAATAAATAAATGAAATGTGTTATTATGAATACTGTAATCTATACGTTACAACGATTGTGAATAACATTAAACTTAATTAAAAGATCATTTTAAATGAATCAACGAATAAATGGAAAGTGTTCAAACACATTAAATTTTCATCAAACACATTCAGAAGTAATTTCCTGTCTTAAAATTTTACTATAGAAATTTTTCAAATATTAATCTGATTGAAAATACTTGACAAATCTTAAGGCTACTGGTAAAAATTTTTAGTGTACAGGCCCAATAAAAATTGATTATGAAAAGAAAAAAACGGAAAATATCTATATTTAACGTGGGAAAATCGAAATTAGAGAAAAATGAAATAAATTTCAGGTGATAAATTGCCGGTGGTGAAACTGGATGTTATGAAATGGAAAAGCTGAAATGTTATATATAGAACATGGATCGCTGTTTAAACATTTTTTGAGATTATAACTTAGATAAAAGTTTAAAAAATTATATTTATGTACACCGTGCAACTGTTAAGTTTTGAATTGTTTTTATTGAAAAAAATTTATACACATTTTATAGTGTTTCGGTGTCGTATACAGTTCTTTTTTCAGCCACAACAAATAATGCTCCAGATTTCTCTTTTGAAGAGAAAAAAGATACAGTGAATTAGATTAATGATTCTCTGGTGAATGGGAACGGCATTGGAATTTGTATAACTTGTTAAACTGTGCCATAAGCTTAGACACTTGGCAATCCAAATACTGTTTTACGAAATACATCGTTTTCTATATTAAATTCGAAATTAGATCACAACGTATAGTTAATTTTTTATAAAAGTTCCACCGTCTGTTTTTTGTTTGCAAAATTATTTCACTATTTAAATAAAAGACCACGTTACAAAATTTCGACCACTTGCAAAAAGTTTCAGAATGTTAATTCGGTAAAACTTGTTCAATATTACGTCTTGTTAACGTTTCTTCTAAGATTCCCCGACTATAAATCGAAAAGTTTAAAATTACTGTACTAGAAGTTATATGATAATTTTTTATTTTTTAATGTCCTCCAGTAAAGTATTTTGAGAGTTTGGAAGTTATTACGCGATGAAACCTCTACAGGAAATCTAGATAAATTCAAAAATGTGATAGATGTGATTCCTCATGTACAGTAAATAAAACAAATTTATTCGATAGGCTAAAGTGAAATTTTCAATTTCCTGATAAAGTTGAACATTTCGGCTTATTCAAAAGCTTTTTAGATGTTTAACCACTCTATTAAGTCATATTAAGTTTTCTCCTGAAAGATTCATATCTGATAAAGTTAAATGTTTTCGGTTGAGATCGATAGTTTTTCTATAAAGAATCTCTTTAGCGGAAATTTTATTTCGTTTATTATGAAATATCCTTATTTTTAAAGTAACATTTCTATCATTATAGAAGAAACACTTTATATAATGAACTGCATCATGAATTAGCATTCATTATTCGGAAGATTTTATTTTTTTGTGATCAACAAAGTAAAGAAAAATTAGCTATTTGCCATACAAGGAAATAAATAAATAAGAAAAAAATATGCATTGAAATAGGTCTGTCAGAATTTTCATGTATTCGTTAAATATATATATATAAATCTTATCAATAAGTTTATCTATTTATGATAAGAAAGAACGTAAATAATATTTTCATAATATTTCTTTTTTTCTTTGATTTGGAAATTTTCCAGAACTTAAATCTGATTGAAATTTTGGCAAGTCATCGTGATTTTTATGTAAGAAGAATCCAAAAATCTCTCATTGAACTTAAAGAAACTATAATTTAATCCGCATCATTAAATTATTCTAGTTCTAGGGAAAAGTTCAGTAATATCTTTACTAAGTATTATAAAGAAACTTTTCAAAGACAAAAGATGAATATTCGCCTTTGGAACAAACACTTTTTGTATTAATTAAAAGAAATTTTTATTATTATTTAGCACTTTTTGTATTAGTTTCTAAACGTGTATTTCTATTTCCAACATTGTATAAACAATACTAAATAAACAATGAAAAAACTAAATAAAGAGATTTGTGTAAATATATAAATCAAATTGCAAATACCGGATATACAATATCTAAAATACAAATTTCCATATGAAGAAACTAATTTAATTTTAAAACAGTTTAGAAATAATCATATCAAAAGGAAGTAAAATCTTTCTTAGCATGAAATAAAATTTATTTAGAATATTCAATTTTTGAATTTCATTCGTAAGCTTATACAAACAACAGAGATCGTCTCTACACAGGACTATTTTCTTAGAGATAGTCATTTATTTCTGATCTTTCGAGACAAATGCTAGATTCAAATCCACTTTTACCTGTCTTGTTTATGAAAATAATAGCCCTTTACTACATTAACCTTTAAATTACATTTATACATTTATACAAAATTAAATTACAAACATTAACCTCTTTACTAGCAGCCGAATTGGCTTTCGAGTAATCAGTAAGGTTTATAAGTCTAATAATTTAACTTCGAGTTGTCATTCTCTAAAAGCCTCATTAGTTTCCTACAGTTTTGATGAAAAATATCAAGATTACATAAGTTTTTCTCTAAAAACAATAATAAAATAGATAATTTTCGTTAAACTGACCATGCCACATACAAGTCATAACAAATATTTTTACTCTTTCCACCCCGTGGGCACTAAGAGGGTATTTTTCAGATCCAACGTGGGTTCGACCTGGCCCACAATTGAGGGAGTCGTGTGGTGAGGTCTTCGAAAAATTCGAGAGCAGCAGGTTGACGCCTTTACCATCTCGGTTATATGGCCAAATATACGTTGGTGTACTTTGATATATGGGTTTTATACTTTTATCGATTTAAGAAAATCTGACGTGATGGAAAAAATAAACATTCTGAAGTGTGTGTAGGAAAAATCATGAAAAATTGTATATCAGTTTATAAACCCTCGACAACAAATTTTAGTTCGTAGTCTTAGGCAAAATACAACAAACTTAAATCATGTTTATATTATTCCTTTTAGTCTAAGAATATAAAACTTTAACACGAAGAAATTCCATAGTCATTTAGGCCTTACAAGATCGATATGTTTATATTTTGTACAGGAGTGTAACATAATATATTGTAAATATTATATAAAATTTTCATTGAAGATTAGGATAATCCTATTAAAATAATGTCAAATTAAAAACACAGAGCATAAAAATCGCTTAAAGAAAATCAATAGAGACTAAAGAAGAAAAGACCACAAGGAAGCTTTAATTTGAATAATACAATGACGAAAACAAGAGATCTAACAGATGTAAATTTAAGCTGAAAAATTTCTTCTTTGTGGCCTACATATACTGTAGCTTACGTGAGTTGTCGAATTTATGTAAAAATGTACGCTATATCATACAGTCAAACAGATCTTACTTTCTGATTTAATTTTCAACGCTAAGAGGTGATTAATGTCGCTCACTTCATAAACAACAGCTGTAGAACATTGTTAGTCATGTATGTTATTGATACATTATAAAACTAAAATAAGGAATTATATAGGCAATAAGAAAATAAAGGTAGAAATTTTAGATTGGCATTCATTTTTATTTTAACTTTATAGAGCCGAATGTAAAAGTAGTCTAAATTTAATTTTCAAAAGTTTTTTACACTATATCTTTACAATATT